GTTCGTTTGATCATATTTCATAAAACTTAGCACAGTTTGGAGAGATTTATTATAAGTAATTCCTATTTTTTGTACAGAATGGGAAAACAGCCAAATTAAAATGGAGAGTTATAGGCTATTGCAAAATAAAATCTAAATTTTGGTTTTCATAATTTTTTATCTTAATGTATGTAATAATCTGGTAAAGTTTCTAAATGAAGCAGATTCTAAATGAAGGTGAAACTTGCAGACGAAGAATTTCCCTGGTTACCATTTTATAGTAGTTCCATTTTATCCCTGGTTGCTATATATTTTTCATTAATTCAACATGAATACAATGACCGAAATCGTGCCTTCTTCTCAAAGAACGTTTTATATCGGTACCGTAGCGGATATTCTATAAAGCATATCAGCATGAATATGTGAGCAAGGCAGCAGGAATTTCCATAAATTTACTGTTGTTTAACATGTGATTAATTTGTCAAGGGAAGTCTATGTTGGTCTTCAAAGAAATCCTGCGCATGAACTAAAAGAATTACGAGACCGTTCCTTCCGGACATTGAGCCGACAGTTTTAGAGTGAGTAAGCGGTGATACATAAATGTTTTACCCCGCTCAGATGGTATAGAGGTTAGGGAAGCCTACTGCGGTACCGAAGAGCCCGTGTTCGAATACCGGAGAAGGCATATATGTTTGTATATGTATAGTATCTTTGCGGCATGGGGGCACTCTAAATTTATGGCGAGCCTGAAGTCATCTCGAGAGATTGGTGGTAGAGAAAGAGATGTGGGAGACTCTCAGAAACGTCCCACCGGGGTGCCATCTATCAAAATTGGGGGGGGGGCGGAATTGAGCGAAGTCGTACTGTCCCCTGTAAGGTGCTCAAGTCTTTTGCCAACGACAGGCGTAATCTGGCTTTCCTTGCCACGATGAATTTCGTGATCTGGTTCTGATTTTACTGTCAGAAAAGTGAGATAAGTCGCAACGTAACACATAAATGCTTTTGTTTCATATGAGTTCCGATACTGGGGAAAAAGCACATGCATGAAAATTGCCATAATTCTTTATACATAATATATTAATTCGAGATATTTTTCGAGTATTTTGTACGTAAGATTTCATTTTTCAGTGTAAATAATTATCTTATTAGTCCCTTTCTGTCCTACCTATTATATATGTCATCACTAAAAATTAATAAGGATAAATAACATATAATTAAGCATGCGGTTAATCAATTCAGTTTAATCTAACTTTCTCTTTAAAATGTTTCTGTCTGCATTCAATAAGAGTTCCTCCCCCCCGGACAACAATAGAATAAATAGCCGTAGACAGACATTTCCAAAGATCTGGAGAAATAGTGTCAAGTATAATATTTTAGTTAGTTTGATCATAATTTAATTGCAGAGTTTGATATTGTTAAGTAGAAAGTAAACATGAATATGAAAGAGGAAATTAAGTTTACTATTTTGAGAAAAATGGCTTTGTTCATGTTCTAATAAGGAATTCGCATTTGTACAGATGCTACACATGAGGGAGGTACAAAAACGCTCATATTATTGATCCTTATTCGCTCAGAGGTGAAAGTATTATTGCTTAAGAATTTTAATATCTTCTTATTGAGGTAAGCTAATTAAATTTATACATTAATCTTCACTATCCTTTTATTTCTTATAACCTTAGAACTTTTAGCTCACATTTTGTAATAACTAACATACATTTCTGTATTATGTTAAATTTGATGTTTTCATGCACACCTTCGCAATTATTTGATATATAGACATATAAATTTCAGATACTATAGCAAATACTTACTTGGTCTTTAATATTAAACTTAATTAGCAGTACAATTACAATATGTTTGACGTACACGTATTCTTCTAATTTAAATTATTTTGTTAAAAATGACGTTTTCGGAACTCAGTGTTTAAAAGCAGTAGTTTTACCGTTGATCTAATTCATTTCAGCTTTGTCTTTACGACAGTAAATATATTAATTAATAATCGTAATTTACTGTCGTAAAGACAGTATTATTATTAATAATAAATATATTAATAATAATACTGTCTTTACGACAGTAAATAATTTAGTTAAACAATGAACCTTCCGGAAAACATACAATTGATGATGAGCGTCTTGTGTTTAATGAAAAATGGATTAAAAATATTTCTTTGGTAATACAAGAAATGAAGCAGTGTGTATATTGTGTTATGAAATGATAGCCATAGTGAACTGGGCTACAATCTTCCCAAAAAGGAAAGCAAAATAAAAGGTGCAAAGTATGTGAAAAGATTGATGAAGCAACAAACGTTATTTCCAGAGAAATCATTACATTAAAACAGCGCTACAGAAGAAAATCTAATGATAGCCTACAGCGTTGCTAAATGGTACAAGGCCTTTTTCTGATGGCGAGTTTATTAAGCAGCGTATGATACCATGGTACAAGCGGACCGTGTGCTGATGTGAGAAGTAAATTTGAAAGCATTTTTTTTTATTGTCAAGTACTATAGTGCAGCGCATTGACACGAAAGTGATAACAGTTTGTTCAAAACTTCCGTGTATCTTTGTATTTTTGTCTAATCTTGATTCTAATCTCACTATACTACAAAGTACAAAATTTATTAGTCTTCAGTGTATTTAACTCAGCTGTAGTCATTGTGAACTTTATATCAAGTATTAGACTTTTCTTTCACATTTTATGTTACATTTACAGAACTATTTATTTATAAAAATGCTGATGACTTACATAATGGCTGACAGAATAGGTGGAACAATAGCAACAATACGTAACAATAGCACTACAGCCTGTAGGAAATAAAATGAAATAATAATATCCTATTCAATAAATCATATTTCAAAGCTTAGAGCCAATTCAAAAATAAATACGAAGATGCAAAACTTGCTGATATAAAGTAATATCGCTTGCTTCATTGTTTTTCCTATAAAGTTATGTTTAATAGCGAATCATACAGATGACTAATTAAAGCTATACAAAAGCAGGAACTTCAGAAAAATATTATAGGGATTTAACGAATGATGCTAATAAACTAAGCTGAGATAACAAAGTGTAGGTGTACGAAACGATTTCACAAAAGACGCGTATTTAGGCCTTTCTGGGAAATTTGCATCCCCACTTGTGGCTGGGCAATGCTGAAGCGGTGATGCGTTCAACGCTGTATAATCCAGAGGTAAAAGCCAAGAAATGTGGAAGATTGTGTCTCCTCGTCCCTTTGTGTACATACAAGAACCTGGCACTTGAAGAAACCAGCAGACTGTGTCTGGCAAAGTGGACGTCTAACACATTCAAACACAGAGTAGCACTTGGAAAAATAGAATGCAGTATGAAGAAACAACTGTGAATAATGTTATGCTTTCAATGTTCAGAATTTAAAGCAGATAACCAGAATAACACTTGGTGCCTGCAATTATCAATCTACAGAAACTATTATTAGTATACAATGTTCAACTTTGTAACTTTTCCCCGCCGTGATGGTATATAATTCCGTTTGGTTCCGCCGTGATGGTATATAATTCCGTTCCGTTTGGTTCGTGGTCGGAAGCCATCGTACTCACTCACTCCTCCCAATACGCCTATCCGGGGTGATTGTTGTCCTGTTTATCGACGTGGCTAGTAGCTGTGATTCTCTGAAGCGTGGTGCGGCGATGTTGCACGGAGTCTTGACGTGGAATGTAGGTGTTGGAGACTAGAATAGGAATGTAGCAGAATATCCTGGATAGAATTTGTACGAAGTATCGCAGACAAGCAGACTATATTGACATAACTCAGCAGTTTATAACGATTCAAGTAAACATTTGTTGTTCAAGTTATATTTTTCTCACATGTCATAGATTGATGAAAGCTCAAGGAAAGCACCCACTTTTAACTTCACTTACATCAAAGTATTCTCCTTCGGAAGGGAACCGCGTTCTAGGTTGCGACAAATCAACATAATCAAAAATCAGACAACAAGATCAACTTGTAAACAATGTCCAGAAAGTAACAATATTAAAAAATTAATGTCATTTTCCAGACGATACTGCATTTGTTTACTTAATTTCTTGCTTTACAGAATTAATTCAACATTACATCCCCTTCATCGATTAAATACTACCTTGAATTCACAGAATGTGAAGTATACAATTATATTTGAAGCATACAGCTGAATATTAAAAAAAAAAAAAACCTTAAAATGAAAAGTAATGGTTTATCAAAGTTTGATTGTTTGGCAATTTAATCTTTAAAAAGATTAAATTTCATAAAAAAATAATTCAATAAATTCAACAAAAAGGCGAGGAATTAAAAAAATCATTAACAAATAAATAAAGAAATTTAGGTAACTAATATTTATAATGGTTTACATTTCTAACTCGTTTCGAGTTAGTTAGAGCGAAAAATGTTTTTTACTTGAAAAATGCTAAATAAAGAAAAAATTTAAATTAAAATTATAAGAATAAAGCAATTATTTGAGATTTAAAAATATGTGCGAATACTTCAGTTGGATACTAAAAGTTTTAAAACAAATTCCTCTGAAATGAAATTATAGCAGAGATGAAAATCAGGAGACTTTCTAAAGTTAAATTAAAGACGGAGAGAAAAAACACGTATAAATTTTACAAAAGAACAGCCTAAAACCATTTCCCAACCATATGAAGTTGTAGTACTTAACATATTAACCGCTCTTTTATCATAAATGAATTCCGTTAAGATACCTTAAGGCAAATATTTATCACAAAGCTTACATCATACTTCACAGATATAGGTTTACTGCTACGATTATAGAGACGTAGGGTATACTGGAGAAAGTGTGCTTTGAACTTTATCATTGTCTTGTTACTGTTAACGTAACTAAAGAAAACCAAATAAAATACTTGTATGGATTTCCATTTGATAAGTACATTTCTGCTTGTATGTACATTAAAAGAAATAACACTTATGATATTTATGTAGTTTTAACTGTGAATAAATATAAAAATAAATATTAAGAAAACTTATGATGTTAAAATTTGAAAGCCTAAGAACCATACCATCTTTTAATGTTTCGACTTCTACATCATCCGATGGTGGTCCTGCTCCTTTGCTATTAAAAGCCTGAACTCTAATCAAATATTTCGTATGTCTTTGCAAATTGGTGAGAATTCTCTCTTCTCGGAAGTTTTCACTATCTTCCAAAGTCTTGTAAACGTACTTATCTTTTGAATTTTTGCTCTTGTATCCCACATAATAGCCTTTTATTTTTCCAAATTGTAAGGTTGCATCAGGAGGCTAAACAGATCAACATAAAAGAAAATATTACTCAATTGAAAACTAAAACAAATAAGACAGGATAATGTAATTCAATTTTTCAAATTAAAATTTTAGAGTTCGGACAGAAATTTGTTGCACGTACTTCCCACAACACTTTTACTGCTGTTGAAGACAAAGGCAGCGTTTTTATGGTCAGAGGTGGCCCTCCAGGAGCTGAAAAAAAAGAAAATAATATATATAAAATCTCAAGTTTACAGCAGGCAAAAATAAGCCGAACAGAATTTCACAGAACAAAATGACATAAAATTCTTTAAAATATATCTATCTTTTTTCTTTTTTTTTATGCTACAACTTTATGCTATGAAGTGATGAATATTGAATTTCACCTTCAGGAAAAGAATGTAAGTGGAAAATATCTGATAATATATTTACCCTTGAAGCAATCATAAATCTTTAAGATACAAATTCAATAACACGAAGTGGTGCTCTTCTAATTTAATATAAATCATGGATTTATATTAAATTATTCTTCTGTTGTTCGGTATTTTAAAGAAATTGCTTATTCTTAATAATATATACTCACGATTTAAACAAATGGCTAGAGAGGGCCCTGTAGTCAACTAAATTCAAAGGACATTTTTAATTCGAAGTCTGTTAGCTTACTTATGAAAATTTAATTGAATTTCCGTCAGATGAAGTTAAAAAATAAAAGTCATAAAGAATCTGAAAATGCAATATTTATTGATCGTCATTCTTTTCATTCAAACGCAGAACAGTGTGAACTGTTCTCTTGCCTTAAGAAGTCAAAAAGGTAAAGGAATTTAAAATATTTAAATTTTTAAGGAAATAATTATTATGTGTGCATAAGTAAGAAACACTCAGTCAAATGTTACCCGTCGTGCTGATTTAATATATTTTATTTCTGGACAAAGCAATTCTTGTCAAGCACATTCTTATTACGAATTACACAATGAAGAATTAAGAATGCGATTAAGAACGGGTGTACAGATTGCAATGGGTGCGAGCTGCGCACCCGTTCATAATCGCATTTTTGTTTGTTTTGCATCCTATGACAATGCGATGTATGAAAGAGAAAAGTATTACGTAGAAAAAAAATTAATTATAAGAGCATTTAACTTGTGCCAGCTAAATCTTTTACTGGTGATTAATACTTAAATAAAATTAATTCAATACATATCTTTCGGAAGTAATTCACTTCAATGTCATACCTATGAAATCAATAACACTGAAAGAAAAGTGAGAAAACGTTTTCTGTTGTACCTTAAAATAAAAAATAAAAAATACTGGAATTATAGATCAAAGATATATTTACAACAAATCCAGAATGCCAAACTCTAAAATCGTGTTGAAAGTCTCGAGTGTTTATCTGTCTAAAAACATATCAATAGTTTTAGACAGATAAACAGTCGAGACACTCGAGACAATTACTAGAAGTAGCTTATTCAGTCTAATCAAAATTGCCTGTTCCTACAAATAAATTAATACATAACCTCACAAAATACCAAAGAAGATTTAGCTATACAAAATATATTAATTACCAGTTCACATAAAATGACAATAAATAAGTATTGTTAACTGTTACAACGACTCTAATAATTATAATTTATTTCTCAATCAGAACCCTCTACTGCACTGTGATTAGAATTTAATTTTAGACAGGTCATATGTAAAGTTCCATGTTTTTAACTACCTTTTAAGTCAAACAATAAGACACAGTGGTAGACCACCAGTCAGATAAACAAACACTAGTTTACATTTTGAACACTTTTATTAACTTTCTTGATTAAAGTAAACGTTCAGATAAATGTCCGTGCAGCATTCTCTTAATTGATAATAATACATATTTCAAATTGCTAAACAAACATGTTCCTATTCGGAATACTTAATCTACTTTTCCACCTTAGCGTTTAGTTAAGTAAGCAAGCAAACAATTAATACAATTTTAACGATTGATTTAACTCAGTGAAAATAATTCAGATCTCGTAAGAAACCTTAGATTTCCAAAATATTCTTTCTGCCTTGCGACCATACATAGACACAATACACATAGAAGACCACGTACCTGAGATTCAAACTTTCATCCTCATAAAAGTACAGGGAAGTCATAAAAACACTTCGCCGATATATGAACTCTTATTTGCTTATCCGCTCAGCCAATCGAGATGAAATTCCGGATGCTGTTATTTGAAAGTATGCTCTAGAGATCGTGAACATGTGAAACAATAGATATACTTTTACAGTATAAACATTTCAAACTTTTCGAGCGCCAATACCTGCGTTTTTCCTGCGCAAACAAGCAGGGCCTTGAAAAAAGTCGTCGGAAATACATACATGTGACGAAACTCACGGGTGTAAAACATTTGCAAAAAAGAACATTGTAAAAGACCAGTGGCAATACAAGAGAAAAGAAAAAAAAAGCTTTTATTAGAATTAAAATATTTCCGCGTGCCCACTTTCGCAGACGGTAATTCATTGATTGCGGGGGATTATTGACAACAACCCAAAACTTGGGAGGAATCTGTATAACTTCATGTTTTACTGGAGGTGAGGTAAGTAAGTAAATATTTCCAAAGTGGTATTGCAGGAACTGCCGAACACATGCGGCAACGTGTGGAATAGCATCATCTTGCATCCATACAATATCATTACGGACATCTCGCTGCTGCATTTCTGGACTTATGTAATTTTGCGCCATTGTTGTCTGCTAGAGAGCACGCTTTCATACCTGTGCAAGAGATCTCTTCGAAAAATATGCATCGAGGATGAATGTGCTTGCGATGCCGCACCGCACAGTCAATTTAGCTTCGTGTAAATGTGCTGGTGCTCCGTAAAAGAAGATTTTCGCCAACCCGTGAACGCAGTTCTTAAAGTCCCTAGTTAAGGATAAATGTGCTTCATCTATCTATAATTTTCGCAGTGACCACCTGCTATCTTCATCATATCTTATGAGGAGAAAATTCGCAATCTGTAGCTCATCTTCGGGTTGCAGCATCTGGATTCGCTGAAATCGATAAGAAAACATCCGTAGAACATAGAAGCTTGAGGACTGTGTTTTTCGTACATCGAAACTTGTACTTCACGTAGTATGCAAAGGACCTGCAGTAATCGTGTTAGGGAATTCCTCAACAACTTTCAACAAGAACACATGGAGTTATGTAACGTGCGTCAATATGCATCCTCTCTGTATTGTGACTGGTTCTTTACAATGCGCGTTTCTGCAAATGTTTTACGCCGTCAATTATCTTCAAACGAGTATCGTTCCAACATCATTTATGGTGTTGTGCTGATGAAATCGTGTCGAAAAAAAGTGGATGTTGCCATTCGAAACTTTCACTTTAACCGTGATCTTGAAAGCTGTATTTGTTTTAAATCATCACAATCTCGAGCGCATGCTTTCAAATAATAATATCTGAAATTTCATTTCGATTTGTCGAGCGGATAGGCCGCTAGGGGTTCACAGATCGGGAAAGTTTCTTTATGAAACCCTGAACGTGAATTAGCAAATTTTATAAGAAGTTCGTCCTGCCACGTACGTTGTAGTTCTTTCGTAAACTAATTATCGGGGAAATAACACGATAAATCTGGAATGCTGTCGTGAAATGCTTTCGAAAACCATCCTGGTATATTTAATATCTTTTGGTCCACCAAGTTCGTAGAGCAACTGAGATCCACGATTTCCTAGATAACTCTTTGCCTCTAATTCGCGAATCTTGTAGCCATGTCGCTGAGGAAAATCGCTAGGTATAAAGTTTTATCCTTGGTTAGTTCTGACCTACAGCTCTCTTAGACGGGACAATGTCGCCATTAACCTTGCATAACATATTACCTGTTGCCCTTTTCCACCTTGTGGAACTGACCACCAAAATTGTAAGAAAGATCAATCTTCAGCCTGCAAAAGCCAAGCTCAGACAAGAGCGCATGGTTTCGCAGCAGTCAGAGGCGAAACTACGAAGAAATAACTGGGATATCATATTCGCTGGGATATTGGATTCGCGGAACTACCGCGCCTAGGACCCATCGAGGATATATTTTCAATTTAATGCCATTATCTCCATTTAGGTTTCTGCAAGTTTTTGAAGTTATTTAGAATATGCAACATAAAATTCTATTTAAAAAATTAAGAAGATTAAAATTAAGAAGTAATAATCTTTTCAAAGCAATTACAGCAGCATCTGATAGTAATGAATTAAACTTGGAATGAGAAACGGAACATAGCACTGTTTTCTGTTAGCTTTTTAAATAACATCTTCTATAATAATCTACCCCATGTTCGAGTAGTCCATTGTTAATATCCTTATGTGACTGCTCATGCAGTTTTCCCTCTACACTATATTATTTCATAAGCAAGAGTTAAATTTAATATACATGATATAGATTTCGCAAGTTGTGCTATTTCACACAGTTTTTTGTTTTGCTCCAGCCACTCTTTTGCTTGCACAAATTACCGATAATCCAGTCACATATACGAGTATTTCTAAAAACATTAATAGAACAGTAATAAAAATTCTGCATACACCTTTACAGAATGAAGAAAGTTCAAGAATCAAAGTATTGTAGCATGTTAGATCGCAAAAAATGATGAAATAAGGAACATGAGAGCAACTATATGCCTACAAACTAATATTACCAAGTTAATTATTAACTACTCTTTAGTAAATGCACATTTTGATTTCAAAATCGATTATCAGAAAATAAACTTATTACAGACACTCCAACTAAAAATAAAGCAAAACTTCAATCCGATTAAATCTTTTCTCTATATTTTATTCCTTGAGAAACAACATACGCCTTGAAAACATTTGTTTAAAAAATTTTACCATGTTTAGACGAAAAAAAGCGATTACGTTTTATTACTTTTCTTGGTCGATGCAGAATTAAAAAAAAGCAAAATACGCAACTTAATTAAAAATAAGTACCTTCTTAAAATTGCCATTTTTCTACTAACTGTAAATGAACTTTTTATATTATATTTAGTAATATTAAAGAGCATCAGAACAAGGAAAAGTAATTTTTTTGCATGGAAACAAATGTCCAACTATTGAAACTATTCTTGCAGAGGTGGCCTCTGCTCGTTACTTATAATAATGATAGGAAGTCATTGCCTACAGTTTCTCGTCATTACTCGCGAACGGTATAATTTAAGAAGATACTAAATTTCATATCGATTAATTTTAGTAAGAGATAAAAAATACATTTTATTCCTCTTTTGCTTTCGTACAACATAATTTAATAGTGCTTAAAGACACTTTTTTTTTTAATTTAGTCATTTTCCTTTTCCCCTCCATTTATAAAAAATTTTATTCCTTTTTAAAAGCACCTTTTTGAAATTCCTTTATAACATTTCTGATAATTACTAATTATCTGTAACATTTTCTGAACAAAGTTATATATATTTATTTCTAGCAGAAATAGTACTTCATATAGAAGCCATTGGAAACAAATTTCATTTTAATTATTTATTGAAAACGGTCTTATATTTAATGAAGAGTAGTTCTTAATTATTATTGTTACTGCAAGCTGGAGATCACTCATTTGTTACGCAGGGCGGGTCAGGTATTGAATAGAAAATAAAGCCAATGATTTACATGTACTTAATAACGCTACGCACGTATATATCAACATGATTCTATGGAACCTGTTCCTTTAGATGCACAGTGCTTGTAAATAAATGCGTTTAATTATTTATTTAAAATATGTGTCATAATTTAATTATTGTGAGGAGTCTAATACGTATTTAAACCTGTTGCTGTATATTAAAAGGGTTAAATGCAAATTCAACTTTGTTGCTGAATATTAATTCTAATTCATATTTAACCCTGTTGTTGAAACATTTAGTACACAAAATAGTTATGCAAAAGTATAACAGTTTGAATACAATACTGTTTCTTTATTGCTGAGGGCCAACCAATAATTTAGAGGTTATGAAACACCGACACTTTCCAGGATCCAATCTCCATGGTTGAAATCCCCAGCTGAAGAAATTTTCTGTTATTCATCGTATGTGTAATGCAAATAGGAGGCAATTTTCCCTTAATAAAGTCCCAACTGAAAGCATCCTACCTCATACATAGTTTCTGTAATTATTTTCCTCTGCCGCTGTGTTTATTTTACTTCACTGAAAATATGCTTAGTATTGAACAAATAATTTAATTATTTTATAATTTGCTTCGTTATTTCAAAACTAAATTACACGAAGCACTTCAGCAGAATGAGTCAGAAGGCATTTCTCTACAAGCAACCGTTCCTATAGATTATCGCAATAAATAGTTTATACGAAATGGTTACTTTAATAACGACATCTTTAAGTTCTAATAAATAAAGTTCTGTTGTTTAATTAATTATATTCACTAATATAGATATGTAATTGTAATTTTCGTAGGTAATTATTTTTCCAATTATGTAATTATAAATATCTGTCACAATTGCAATTACACTAACTATAATTATAGAAATCTAATTAAATTAAATTCATAATTACACTGCAAATGTATGCTTCGTAAATGAATTATTTAATTTGAATTTCATTTCTTTTGTAATTATATTATAGCGATTTTTTGACAGATGGCTACATTGCACTTTCACAGTATTCCATCCCAAGCAATGTATATTCTCTGTGACAAATGTCGAAAGAGAGGAAGGAATGCTAACATATTTCAAAGCAAAACGTGCTTATCGAAGCCAAAACTACAAATAAACATAACAAACCCCTTCATCAAAATAAATGCCTAAAGTACTGTCAAACGCATACATAAACGCACTGAAATAATTAATATTTAAAGCTTTATGGAAAACACGTTTGTAATGCTCATAGCTTTCTGTGTAAATATTTACTTCAAATATTACTCTGCAAATCGTACGAAACATTTACACATAATATGTAAACATAAATTCTAACCTCACATAGAAGAACAATACTCGCTTCCGTTGAGTTAATTACAAATGAATAATATACTGAGAATTGCAACTCATTACGCGAAACTAATTAATTCTGTTGAATGGAATCCTGTAACCGTGATCTATCATGTCCTCTTGTATTCAATCATTGCATCTCAATAAGTTTAGTTACGCGAAAGCTAAATGTAATTCCTAACTGTGGTGATTTAATGAAGGAATTATGGAGCATAAATCAACTAAAGTTGATAAACATGTCACTTTGGAATAAATACAGAGACATACGAGCATGCTTTGATTGCAGACTTGTCAGATTTTAGCAGGAATGAAGAAAAATTATTCTGATCCATAAAGATTTCACTACTTAGAGCAAAACATTTTATCAAATTTCTTTGGAAGGATATCATACCCATTGCTTCTTACAATAAATAACAGAAGAATAATAGTAAAAAATTCACAACAATTTACTTAATAGTAATAAAATTTCGCCAAACTTTGCGTTGAAGCAACAAATTTATTTTTAATGATAATGTGGCATGAAAACGTTCGGATCACTTAAATCAAAGGTAACTAGGCAGGTGTTTTCATATTCAGTAAGTTAATGAGTTAGTTATTAAGTGTTCTAGCAGTTTTTCGAGGTAATGATCTTTAGCTGACTGCAAAAAAGACATCAACCACGTGAAGGTAATTGAAACTTTGCATGAAAGCTGAGCGAAAGTTGGGTAGCTTTTAAGAAGAATGAATTTATGAGCTGGAAATTATCGAATAAAAATTCAGCGAAGAACAACCGTTAATCACAACACTTTATTAAGTAATGATATATATATATATATATATAATTAACTCTCAGATAAAATGAATATTGAGAAAGTGTTTAAATGGATATAAAATGTGGATATATTGACCCAATACAGATAGATTAAATGGATATGCAACGTGCATAGACAAAAAGTTTACCTTCTTCATTCTTAAGACCAGATTTCCAAAGCAATTTTAAGACAAAATAACACGCCGAATAAATACTAATTCAGAAGACAAACAACAAAAATCAGCGTTATATTTACAAAATTTCCACAGGACTAGTTTCGATGGTTTTACCGAACCACCATCCTCAGCTGCAAAACCGCAAATGAACAAGATAGGAAAGAATGATTAGATAAGATAAGAAAGCCTGGACAAGAATAAGCAAGTGGCGCCATCTGTTGGTGAAACCAGAACTAAAACATAATTTCTTTAAAGGCCGAAGGCAAATTTGGATTGGAATTACGATCGTTAACTAGAACAGAAAGATTTTTATGAATGTGAAATGCCTCTAGAAAATCCAGTTCTCCAATGGAAGATGTGTTTTGAATAATTATTCTCACTAGGGAAAAATGAATGCGAAAATTAGTGTTTTCAGAGTTTTTAATTAATATCGCGGCAGATTAAAGTCGTATAAAGATGAGAATAGTCGAAATGGCATACCGCGAATTTTTGGAATTGGGAATAATGTATTTAATGTTTGGCAATGCTACTTTTATGTCATCGTAAAACTTTGAATTTTTTTATTAACAAACTCTAGGATTTGAAAGCGAACAGTGGCAACAACTTTTTAAATAAAGCAGAATTTCATCTCCTGTTTGCGAGCCTGTTGCCACTCGGAAAACTGAGGGCGAAAATTAACGTCTTTCCGAGTTTTTAATTAATATCTCTGATTTTAGCTACTTTTTTTGGAAAAACGTGGACGTCGACCTTTCCCGGGACACAGAAAAGAATTGTAAAGTTTGGTGACGATAGCTATAGTAGTGACTGAGTTATTAGCGAACAAACAAACACAAAGACTTTCATCCTTTATATATATAGATATAGATTAAATGGACCGTGTGTGTAGCTTTCAAAGCATTCCTTCAGTTTCCATGTATCCGCACATCTAGCCTGTTTTGTTTACTAGAATGATATCATTCAGCTCCTTTTCATACGCCTTCATTAAACTCGCTCATTATGTCTATTGCACATTTGCACCTAAACACATAACTATATTAGTATATTCTTTCACTGTTTCCTTCCTATAACCATGATAGTTATAGGGAAATCATGACACCAAAAGCTCTGATCCTGTTGATCCAACTAAGTAGTTAAAAAAATATTTAAGCAAAATTCCGATATTAGCATTTTATTCTCATGTTTTTGAGCACGCGGTTATCATTCATGTTTGGAAATGTGATCCAGACCAATTAATGAGAGATAGATGGTGTTAAACACAGCCAAATTCAGATTATGTTGTTAAAACGTGAAATGTTACACACATGATAATAATTTTCAACAACGCTTACTAAAAGTTAAGTATGGGGAACTTGAAGTGTAAACCCTTTGCGGTTGTAGGTTTATTCTCAATGATCAAATCTTTTTTCAGTTCTAATCATATACATGTTTTCAGCCACAACAGTAAAGAACCATACTTATATTATAATAAGTCGATAAGCTTCACGAATTTGCATATTATGTATTACTATTCGCTCATTCAACGAAAATAAATACTGACGAGCATAATACCTATGTATAGACTTAATGTGACAGCAAAGAGTAAAATGTGTATGTACGTTTTTGAGCTAGTTATTGTGGGTTTTCTTTTGTTGCCCTCATTTTTCTTACGTTTTGGAAATAACGTATTCAATTGTATTTGCAAGATAATTTGTCTGGATTAAATTTTAAGCCTATGGTCTGAAACTTTGATGAGCATAGTATCTTGCTATATAAAGGATTCTAAAATTTTACTACACAAAGATGTGCTATCGTTATCTTAACACTCTTATACAATTATTTTCATATACAGCATGCATATAAAATAATTTCAAATATATAAGTTTACTTCTGAAATGAATGCATTCGCATAACAACAATCGTAAATAAAATGTATGAATCAAATTCAATATCTATACAACAGCAACACGCATCAGGTCACATTTGAAATATTTGCCTATTTATACTTGATAAACATTTCATGATGATGCAAAATATTATAAAAAAATTCTTACCTTCTTCTTCAGTAGTAACTGTCACAGGATTACTAGCTTCACTTTCTCCCAACGCGTTTACAGCCGATATTCGAAAAGAGTACTTTGTATTTGGAACTAAACCATTAATAGACCACGTTGTTTCTGATGGAGGTATGGTAATTGGCTTCATATCAGTGTCTTGACTTTTTGCTGAAATAGTAATTACTTCTGAAACAAAGGTTGTACATAAATTATTTAATCAAACTTTTTCTATAATTGTTGTTGGAGAGAAGTTATAACAATTTTCGGCTGTTAAAAATTCTGATTCAGTTTTCCTTTTGGAGGGGCTTTCTTAAGTACGTAAATTTCTTTTAAATTATTGTGTAGTTTTTCAAATATATAGCATTTTATTTAGCGTAAATAAAAACAGTAAACAATTTTCATTAAGACGCCGATATTCGAAGGCTTTGGTAATGCATAAAAAGCCCTATTTTTTGGCATGTACAACTTTTTACTTAGATACATGAATAATATAAAATAAATCAAAATCTGATTTAGCAGCCAAAGCAAAAAATAAATATAATAATATATTGATTATTATATTTTTTCACGGACCTAAAAATAAAAATAAACCGATTTTTTCAAGATAATTCTGTGCTAAAAGAAGCCAGAACAAGATTTAAATGATTTGTTGTCAATAAAGCAAAGATTTTAACCAATTCTTAAATTTACCTGTTGAAAAAAAATTATTCTACATTAAATACACTAAATTCTACATTAAATATGAAACAAGGGGCATCACTGTTTTATTAATCACAGAAATATTTAAGTTATTCAATAAATAAATATCTTATGTTTCATTCAATGACAACATTTGACAGAGTGAGTAAATGGTAATTTAACATCGTAACTTAACATTACGTTCTTAAAATTTTGGAAACACTCTTTCTAATTAATGTTATAAAAGGGAATATATTTTTGATGGCAAAATTCAATTGCAAACCTCCATTGCCTATGAGAACTTTTGGTCATTAGTGGCATCAGGATATGATAGTTACTTTAGATCAATTATATGTTACTAATGTACAGTAAATTAAGTAAATTTTCGAAATTGAATTGTTGCACATCCATGCTGGCGGCGACTTTAAGTCATCATTGACCTTCGGTTTGAAGTCACTGAGCATAAGCCAAAAGTTACTAGTTGTTGCAGGTCAATTAAGTTAGATAATTTTTTAATGAAATTAATTCAAAGTACAATAATTACATTCACGGTTATTGGTCACTGATAGATTGACCGTACACTGTCTGTGTGTGTGATTATGGCAAAGCCATGAGGGCTATCTGCCTAAGGGGATGGCTTTCTAAGGGAAACTGGCTCGTATACATGTTACACATGAGGAAAATCACGAAAACGCCCATGCGGTCAGCCCGTTCGCGGGATTCGAAACTCGGACCGAACTACCACTGTTCAGCGACTTTACCGCTCGGCCGCTGGTGGGCACAAATTCACTATCTGTCAGTCCATAAGTCATCACAGCAAGGGGAAGCAATAATTAAAATAATTTGAGGAAAAATGAAACTAACCGATACTTTACCCAACAAACATTTATTCATTTGTGCATGGCTTCATATTTGTCAAAGGTGGGCTTTAGTTAGTCACTGCTGACCGTTTGTTACCGGTATTCAATATATAAGGTCAGAGATATGAGGAAGTGCAGTAAATTTGCATAAGTTTCAGAGAAGCTCCGCTGAAAACATTTCTAACATCAAAATAAAATGTCAAACGAAAACAATATATATTGTCGATGAAATATTAAAATTCTGTTTGTTATGTTCAACCGTATATTATTTCATTTATAGTTAAAGGAAACAAATAAAATTTAGCACACAAGTATACAGCAGTTCGAAAAAAGAATTATTTTTAATTTTATTTAACTATTATAAAATAATAAAGTGAACTTTTATTATTTCAGGGAAAATGGAATTTGTTTGTTTCACATGGCTAAAAGCTGAATCACATTTTCAGGTCTTTTGAAAAAGTGTCAAATTGTGCACAGGAATTTAAATAGATCACCATTTTATTTAATAGCCTTTACTTGTTGACATGTAGCAATTTAAATTTTAAACTTGTACTCATTTATTCTCTCGTTAACGCATTCCTTTCGAAATATTTAAACTTCTTACATGTAGTGCAAATATTAGACATGTAAAGCAAGTTATTTACTCAACAACCCGCCCAGTCGTAGACCGTAGTAGGTCTACGACTACTACTGACTTAGATGCACCGTAGTAGACTTCCCTAACGTGAGCAACAACCGCCCACATTAGGGAAGTCTACTACGGTGCTGAAAGGACCGAGTTCAAATCCCGCAAAATGCATGGTTGTAACTGTCTGTCCCTTCACAGGACGCAACGGTGGTCGTTTATTAGGTGACTCCACAATAAAATGGACACTACTTCTGGTCTTAGGAATGGCCAAAGCTGAATAGATAAGAGCTCGCAATTGGATTTAAAAAATGCCCAATAAAATGAATCAAATGAGAATAAAAATACTGAAGAAGAAAATTTTATTATTTTTTTACTGAAATATATAAATGCCATAAAATTTCTGTTGTTGAATTCAAGTATAAGTTCCCAAATTTATTATCATGTATCATGGATATATGTTATATACATCTGAGCGAAATTATTATTATAGAAATGAACACGTTTTTTGGAGACTTTATAAGGTATTTCTCCCGCCGTCTTGGCGTGCCTTCGTGGTGTGGTGGTCTGCACACTGGGCCCGTTTTCCGGAGGTCCGCGGTTCCATTCCCGGCGAATGCGTTTCTAATTTTTCATCTTGCCTGCTTCCAAAAAATCCTAATATCTTTACAACTCAAATAACCCAGACTGTTGTTCAATTATTATAAAAATCGTTGACAAATTCATTACTTACGACCAACAAATCCTGATGGAAAAACCTTAAAGTGGGAGAGATAAATGTGAAGTTCTATTGGCGTATTGCCTTCCATGCTTTCTTAGAATTTCAAAAGTATACAGAAAATATATACAGAAAACAGAAGCAAGTTCTGTTTTCTGTATATATTTTCTAAAGAAACGTTTGCAAATATTATTGGAAGATAACTAAGCAGAAATTTTTAATCTACGAGTAAATGCAATAACTGATTAAATTTCTGATCCAGAAATACATTCATAATTCGTGCTCTCAAGCCAGTACCTACTTTTAATTATATCGTCCTTCATGTAGCAAATTATTTTCCTAGGTACATCATTTCTACCTTTTTTAAAACCTTCGCCTAAGGTTATTTATTATTTATAAAGCGTTTTGAGGGTCTACAAGCGTTCAGGTAATAACATTAAACTTTCTTGTATTTAAGGGAACATTTTAACGCGTAGTGAAGTTTCCTGCATTTGATAAGCAAGCTAGCGCTATAGCGTTTAATGAATTTTTTTAACCCATTCAAAGAAAGATTCCGTATAGTACAGCTAAAGTTCAAAGACAAACGCGATTTTTTTTTTTTTTTGCTTTGCTTCAAATACTCCAGTTGTGTTTTTTGCTAGTTCTGTGCTAGCGAATTTCGAAATGTTCGTAAATTACATCTGTACTGACAGCATGAGCCTAGGTACTGACCAGAATCTACTTCCGTTGGATGAAACTGCAACTCGGCTGCTGGCTATAATTAAATGAAAATCGGAACTAAGATATAAAGCAAAATAAAAAAAAGCACATATGGCAAAAAATAGCTTATTTTATCTTTCAATTTACCTACATTTATATTTTAAAATTCAATATAGTACTTACAAACAGTCAATCAATCCTTACTTTTATGTAATGTCGTATTTTAGAGGATATGACTTTCGATATTTGTACGCCTAAGGTATTAAGACTGAAGAGTTGCGAATTATTTTTGATAAGTTATCGAAGTTTTGTTCGTTCATTTTCAACTCTTTTAATCTAGAAACAATGGATAAATAAAGTTTATTGCATTTTAAATCTGTTCTTGTGTAAGTAAATTAGATAGATAAGACATTTCTGATTCCAACAATTACTTTAATAATAATTAAAACACAGCTTCAATAATAGTTTACATATTAGAGACACAAATTCATAATTATTTCAGCTAATATTGATTCAAATTAGAAGCAATTTTACCTTCTTTATTCTCATCTTCTTCATATGTCAAAAGATAGTTTAGCAATCTACTGTTTCCGCTATATGGAGGTGACCAAGACAGATCCACTGATCGGCTTGTACTTCCTGTCACTCGCATTTCTTGGGGAATATCTGGTTTCTCTGGAATCAAATATTTATGATACGAATGATTACGATTAAACACGTAGCAGTAATTTATGCACATGATAATAATATAAGCAGAGAGAGGGAAAATAATGTACATTTTAAGACAGGGAAAGTATTAAATTTATGTAGAGAAGGAAAAATTAAACAAAATATTTTAGTTTTACTTCTTAGTTTAATATTCCTGAAATAATTTGACTCGGATTTCTAATTTTCTGAAAGTTTTAATTAACATAGAAGCAATAAATATAAGATAAGTTGCAAAGGTAGAATTCCAAATTATGAAACTTTAAAAAAAAACTAATTATGAATTTAAACTAATTATGAATATTTGGTAATTAATTAATTAAATTCATACATATGAGGATATAAATTATTATATTAATTTAACTCTTTTAAGGTTTTAATGGAAACATCAGAAGCTAGTGCGTTTGCCCGACAACCCTTTTTGGAGGAACTATAATAAGGACATTTCTAAGAATCTTAAAACTCAAACTGACTTTATACAGGCTGCTCAGAGAGAATCTGATGCTTTGGAATTGAGCCGAAATTATCTAATTTTACCTTCTTCCCATTGTCCCTTAGACATTTTGAATTTGAATGTAAATCTTGATCTTATTCAAAGAGTTGTTAAAAATAAAATAAGCGATTCATAATTAAAATCTACTGCAATGGAAACTATTGAGATTCGCTATCCTCAAAATGAGTGGTTGCATGTCTACACTGAAGACTCTATGTTAGAGATAACGCACAGCGCTGCAGCAGGTATCCATAACGAGCTTTTCAGTTTCTCCTTACCAATAGGCCCTCTTAATACTGACTTAATCGAAGCTATTGCTGTGGCTATTCAACAACTGTCGATTCATCGTAGCAGCTCTTTTCTAAAGGCGGTCATAGTGTCAAATTCCAAAAGTGCACTTCAAGCTCTTCTAAATAATCAACGTAGTATCCAAAGAATCTTAGACTGTAAGCCTTTGCTTAAAGCAGTGGCACACAGAATTTCGTTCCAATGAATTCCAGACGACTGTAGAATTATAGAAAATTAAAAATGCTGGTACATTGGCTAAGAAAGTAACTTTCATAATGCAAGGCATTAATCAACCGCTTTCATTTCATATGACTAAATTGTTTGTCAGCCTGACTGTTAAGAAATTTCTTAAGAAGGATATGATTCAACGTGCTATGGGTAAGAGGTGGAGGATTTTGGGAAAAGAAAACACTTTCATTCCCAGTTTTCCAGGAAAGATAGCTTTATTTAGACAGCTGACTGGACATGACTGTTCGCGGGACCACCTCTGCAGAATTGGAGCGGCGGATTCCCCAAACTGTATTTTGTGTGACTCCAATCAGCCTATCATTTTTGAACATTTAAATAATTGTATTGCACTTCTTCGGTATAAGAACATTGTTAAAAAAGTACTGGAGAGCCCGTGAACTGATGGCTTAAGCGCTAATGTTTGATATTTGTAAAATAAGTAACTAATATTCATTAAATAAATTTCGTTCATTTCTGAACAATTTGCTAATCCCGCGAAAGAAACTTTTGATATAAGATCCTTTTTATTATCTTTATAAATATTGATAATAATGCAAGTTGAGTGCTTTAAACATTTCGCTCCCATATACATCGTAAAAGAATGGAACATGCATTTTAGCTCTGAACAAGAATTCTTTACTTAAACTGTGTTTTTGAAATTTAGTATAGTTTACATATTATATTATTGTACAGAAGAGAAGTAAATCGAAATAATAGAGGGAGGAATATTTTTGAATAACTGCCGCTACGAAGTTCCCCTTATCACGAAAGACTGAACGCAGCGTTTAAGCTTACATGTTTTATGAATACATGAAAATCCAGGAAGCTAATTTGTGATTTTTATTTGGGACACAATCAGCTAAATTTGAGACAATTTTAAATGACCTTCGGTTTTTATTTACACTGCTCTGTGAACAAATGACATTTTCCAAATGCATCGTACTTGATTTATGAAAAGATAAAACACATCTTGTTGACTTAACCGCCAAAACTACAAAGAATGTTTCTTTTCTCATGAAAATAATAATAAATATTAAATTAAGCATTTATGACATAAATTTATATTGAAAATAAAAAAAATGCTCTTACCTGTGGAAAAAGCGAGTGTTGCGTTCGCGCAACGTCAGCGGAATAAGACTACGGATGTTTAGTGATTAGGATTGTACTCGTGTGATGTTTCTTTTGAGTGTAGCGCAGGATTACTTTTTAGCTGTATATCGTTTTATAAATCTAAATATCACTTTACTTTAATTAATTTAAAATTAAAAATACATTGTATTTTTTTACAAATACAGATTATTTCATTTGAAAGATACAAGCATAAAAACGCTTGATTTCAATCATGATGTAAAGCTAATTGCATACTTTGCATTATAAACAGTCGGCTATGGTACTCTTTACAACAAAGTCTTTGTTATCAACGGACTTTACGATAAAATGTCTACCTCTCCATGAAATGGTTTTTGAATGCTGAATTTACTAGGTTTTCCTGTTGCTATCTATTTCTGGCTAATTCTACACTCTCATAGGAGTTTGAAAAAGGAATAATGCTTCTCGCGTCTGAAATCAAAAGATTACTTTATATTTCCAGTAGTAAAAAGTGGTGATATTTATAAATTTAGATACGGTCTCACTCATATAATTTATCAGTATTGTCAATTTGACTATTGTCAAATGCAAATTCTGCTTCATATTCCTGTACTGCAAACGTGATATCAATTCTTGTACAACAGGAACGGAAATGTCCTTATAAAAGACCAATACATTTTTCTTGAGGTAAAGAATGATATCCTGTAAGCATAATATTCCAATAAATCTTCTCATATAGGCTCAGATGCAATAAATTCTGGGATTTTTTGTCTGAGCGTATATATTTGTATGTTCAAAGAAGAGAGTAAATGACTAAACCAAAAGGAAAATCGAAAATCTGTGCACTAGTTTTACCTTGTGTTTTGTCTTTTATAATTTCTCGTCTATCTCTTTCTTCATGTTCTTCCTGAGACATAACTAACAATTCCTTTTATATCCACTTCAAGATTTCAGTCTTCTGCTTTTTAAACTTTTTAGTATGACTATAAATACTTTTAGAAGGCTGAAACTTACTTCTTACGAGTATTTCAACTCCCAGTAGTAAATTTGGTAAAAATCATTATCAGTATTTACAACATTGCCTGCCTTTCTTAGCCTCTGCAATTTCTGGGGGAACAACAACAATATCAGTTCATTCTGGTCATTATTAACATTATATGATCTGTTCTTCATCAAAAATCTTTGAAGGGCTTTTTCTATGAAGATACTCGTTCAAGGCATTTTTAAACAGCCAGAACATGAACCAGAACATCGAAAGGAATGAGTTGAACAGGAGATGACTACACGTTCTGCTGAGTTGCGTTAAGCAACACTGTTTTGCCTTCCTTGCCAACACCAATAAAACACTCATGATCTAATGTTGTGAAACGGTGACTTGACTAAAATAGATCACTCATAAAGCCCGATTCTTTCGTTAAATATTTTCAGCAAAAATACCCGGTCGAAAATTTGCTTACATTTGTTAAATATGAGATTAATTATTATAAAAAATGATTGTTGAAGGCAGATATTTTTTTACAGAAATAATCTTCAAATTATTCCCTACGCAAAATCATATGCTGGTATAAAATATCTTAGGTAGTTATATTTATATACGCATTTGTTTTGACCGTAGCGTCAACGCAACACCAGCGGCTAATGGGTTAACATACCTTGTACCATCTTACTCTGTCGTATTTCGAGTCTTCTGGTCATAATTTCTAGTCTTCTAGTATTAGATTCTTTTACAAATGAGCATTACTTGTACTTTCTGTTAGCATATACCAGCACAGGTATAGATTTTCATGTTCAGTAGCATCTAACAATTCGAAATAACTACATTGGACGTTAAATAAGTTTAAATAAGTTTTTTATATAACTAGCATAACGTATGCAAACTTCCAATTCTGAATACAGATGCATTTATTATCTACAATAAATGATAAAATATTTATGTTTGTTTGACGATATAGTATAGTTAATCGAAGATCTAAATATTAGAAAACTTAAAAAAACGATGGGTCAGGAAGCACGACACAGAGACGTGCAGGATCCCATTCATTTACACACAGTGACGCCCAAGATGATTAACTTTTGTTTTTGTTAGCATCGTACAGCCACATCACGTACGATTTGCCAAGAAATATGGTAAACAGGAGAGCACCATATATCCGCTTGCAACGTAGCGGATTGTAAGGGAGACGACTGGGTCCGTGACACTTACCCGGCAGCCACTTAGCCGACAGGACACTTAACCGACACCAGTTAGCCGACAGGACATTTAGCCGACACGGACACTTAGCTGACACGGACATTTAGCCTACAGGACATTTAGCCGACACGGACACTTAGCCGATCCGAACCGTTAGCCGACAGGCCATTTAGCCGACACGGACAGTTAGCCGACAGGACATTTAGTCGACACGAACAGTTAGCCGACAGGACATTTAGCCGACACGGACATTTAGCCGACAAGGACTTTAGCCGACACGAACAGTTAGACGACAAGACATTTGGCCGACACAGAAAGTTAGCTGTCAGGACATTTAGATACGGGACAATACTGTCAAGATACTTAGTCAACAGGTTACTAAGCCGACAGGGACGTTTAACAGACACGTACCAAAATTATTAAACTATCAATTACAAAATTTCTGGACACTCCATAAGTTCAATATTAAGTCATTTTTTCACCTATCAGTAAAATTCTTTTTCTATTCTTAAAGATTCAATGTGCTATTATTATTGTGTTAATTAGCATTGTTTGATATGTATCGTGCTGTTTGGTGACATTGGCCAAATTGAAAAAGCGCTGAAATTTCTCAAAATGAATATTAAAACAAAACCTAAAGACTATTTACTTCTAAATTAAACAGTATGCACTAGTTA